TCGCGCGGGGCTGGAGCTCGTGCTCGCCTGGGAGGTGTCGAACATCGACGCGAGGCTCCGGGAACTGACCGGGCCGCGCGTCCGGCGGCTCGGGGAGCGCTTCGACGTGCCGCGATGCCGCGCTTCGGGCCTCGTCGGCGTCCGGCCCCGGGGCCTGGCGCGTTCGGAGGCCGACGCCTGGGCCGACGCCGCGGCGGCGGCGCTCAAGCATCGGGCGCCGCCGATCCTCGTCACGGGCCGCTTCGGCGCCGTCCGCGTCGGCGCGCACCTCTACAACTCGGACGACGACCTCGAGGCCTTCGTCGACGCGCTCTTCGCGTTCGACGACGACTACTACGTCCGCCGCGGCTACGGCCGCCCCGCGAAGCCCGCCACGAAAAAGCGCCCGCGCGACGCCGACGCCGACTCTTGATCATTGGGAAGCTGTTTCCAGACGGAATTTTGCGAAGGCATCGTGTTTGGATTGTTGTGACTCTCTCGCTTCGTCGAGGACGCGCGAGTCCGGCGCGAAGACGTGCTTCCGGACGCGATGCGTGACTTCAACTTGAAGTTCAACATAGATCGCAGGTTCAACTTGAACTTCAACACAGCCCGCCTCGTTCCAGCCGCCGCTTTGTCCAGGGTCATTGGGCAGCGGCGCCGCACCACACGGGCAACGACGGTCGCGCGTCCCGACCGCTATCACGGATTTCCTTTCCCGGGGGTTCTGGCGCGCGGATCACTAGCGCGTAGCACTAGGGAGTGCTAGGGGTGGCGAGGGCGTCTCGGGGTCGAAGAATAGAATCACGATTTTTTTGTCGGGTTTTTGTGCCATATGCTTCGGGAGCATAACGCGACGGTCGGGAGGTCCGCGCGCGTCGATCTCGGGGTACGTAAACGTGGTACCGTCGAAACGCTCGTCGCATTTCCCGAGACTTCGAGCGCGAAGAACGCGCGTCGTATTGTCTTCGATTTTGCTCCGGAGGCGCGGAATATCTTAGTTTTATACGTACGAAACATGGCATGAGCTTCCTTTTTCCAGTTGTTATCGAAATGGAGGGGCCGATTTTCCAAAACGGAGCGCGTCAAGTTGGACTCGGGGAACTGTGAAAAATAAAGGTCCGTGAAACGGAGCCATTTTCGCAGGAGAACCAAACCTATGCGTCGGGAGCACAAAGAATCGATCCGAACACTTTCCTTTCGCAAAATTCCGTCTGGAAACAGCTGCCCAATGTTTCTTGGCGCCGACTCGGGGGTCGCCTCCTCCCGCCCCTAAAGCATCGGGGGCGAAACCCAGAGTGGGTCGCGGGGTACCTCGGCGGACCGAGCTTAGAGCATGCACGCCGCGGTGGAGCATTCCACCGCGGAGCAGGCCGCGTAGACCGCGGACCGCTCGGGCCGCGGCGCGTGGCGCTTCGGGAAGCCGAAGGCGGGCGGCGGCGCGCCGCCGTCCTCGTCGAAGGCGGCCTCGAGGTAGCCGCCGAGCGCGGGGCCCTTGGGCGCCGAGCGCGGCGACCCGGCGAGCGGCCTCCGCGCGTTCGCGCGGCCGTCGTCCGCCGCGGTCGTGTCGAGGCTCGAGAGCGACGTGCAGGACCACGACTCGGCGAGGGGCGCGCCGTCGTCGGGCCCCGCGCGGGAGCCGAGGTCCGAGCTCTCGAGGCCGCGGCGGCGGTGGACGCGGACGACGTGGTCGTAGAGGTCGTAGGGGGGCAGGTCGCCGCGCGTGACCTCGAGGACGCGCGCGTCGTCCGTCGCGTGGCGGTAGTAGAGCTGGCGCCGGAAGCGGGCCCCGTAAAAGTCGACGCGCGACGCCGCCGCCGAGCCGAGCGCGTCGCTGTAGGTCCAGCCGCGGTCGTCGCCCGCCCAGGGCGTGTTGCAGAGCGTCCAGTCCGCGACGAGGATGCCGCCGGGCCCGTCGCCCCGCGCCCAGGCCTCCGGGAGGGCGACGTCGGGCACGAGCACGGCGCCCGGCGCCGGCGCCGCCTCGAGCGACACGCCGAGCGGCGCCCAGGGCTCGTTCATGTGGAGCAGGGGGCCGAGGTAGGGCGCGGGCCGCTGCTCGTAGACGTAGAGCGCGTGCTGGTAGAGCGGCGGCGGCAGGTAGCCCGCGACGCGCTTCACCGCGCACGTGAGGCACGCGCCCGTCGGCGCCCCCGCCGCGTCGAGGAGCGGGAACTTGTCCACGAGGCAGCCCGCGGGCACGGCGGGCAGCACGGCGCGGCCGACGACGTTCCCCTCCTCGTCGCTCCCCTCGCCGCCCTCGGG